TTTGGCTTAGTTAGGGCTGTAGGTCTATTGGGATTCAAGAATGGGAATTTAGTAGCTTATTCCATAGGATGAAAACCTGCCTGGGTGCCTTTAATCCCAGCAGCCTGGGAGGCTGAGGCAGGAGTCTGAGCCCAGGAGTCTGAGACCAGCCTGGGCAAGATGGTGAGACTCTGTTTGTACAAATAAAATTTTCTAAAAAATGAGCTGGGCGTGGTGGTGCATGCCTATAGTCCCAGGCTACAGACATGAGGATAAGGCAGGAGGATCCCTTGAGCCCAGGAGTTCAATGATTTACTGAGCTGTGATCACACTACTGCACTCCACAGCACCCCAGCCTGGTTGAGAGAGCGAGACTTTGTCTCTAAATAAATAAATAGGTAAAATAAAATGACATGTCCAGTGAGGACCAGACTTTGGGAGACCGTCTTGGATGCAGTGCTGCTTCTAATGCTATAGGACAGCTTATAGAAATCGGATAACAAGCTCAGGCTCTAAATTAGCTCAAAGTAATGAATTAAACCCATGGACTTTCAATCATTGCTGAAACTAGACCTTATCTCTTGTAGCATCAGGGCTGACGTAAATGAAAACCAATCTTGAAATCTGACCCCAATGGCTCTGGGACTAAATGTTAGACAAATCACAGTCCTATCAAGTCAGAACATGGATTAGAAAAAAGCAGGACCTTGAGAATTGGGCTGGGGATATATAAGGGATGTCCAGAAGATTCAGACTAACTCAGATCCCCGCTCTCACTGAGCTTCCCTTACCAGCTTATGCAACTTCTCCCCATGTCTGACAAAGCTCTTCGCTTGTCTGATGAGGCTGTGACTTTTTCTGGAGTGCCCTTGCAAGGGGACATCATGCATCCTCATGCCCCACCCTCGAACCCAACACGTTCTTCAGACTTACCAAATCCCAGTATGCCAACCGGAAAAGCAAACCTGAGAAGAAAAGTCCCCCATATCAAAACAATTCAGGGCTTTAAAACAGGAATGGGGAAGGCGACAAATTTTAATTTTCACTGAATTTCATATGTAGGAGCACCTGCCAAAGAGTCTAAGGTTGGTTCTAGCATCTGGAGGTGGTTCTGTTCAAAGGAGCAGATAAATGAAAGAAACCTGGACTCCCAGCTGCCCAAACTAAAACACCAACCTCAGAGTCTTTGATAAGTGCTCTTACATCGTTACAATCAGCCTGATCTAAAGTAACAATGTCAGAAACGTTATACCCTGAAAGGAACCTGAAAAAGTTTTTTATTGGTTTTTTTTTTGTTTTTTTAATTTCAGAGGTGGAGTCTTGCTCTGTCTCCCAGGCTGGAGTGCAGTGGCACAATCTCGGCTCACTGCAACCTCGGCCTCCCGGGTTCAAGCAATTCTCCTGCCTCAGCCTCCCAAGTAGCTGGTTTTAGAAATATGCCCAAGACCAAGATGAAAGAAACTATGCATAAACTCAACATCTCCCAAGTCTAACCTTACTGCAAAATTAACCAATTTGCCAGCAACTGGGACCAGCTTCAAGGCCCCTACCGTGTAGAAACTTACCACCAGATACCTCACTGGTGCCTCTATACCATAACTCCAGGAGCACCAATGAGGTATCTGGTGGTAGGCTTGTACATGCCTTTTCTGAGCATCAAGCTTCTGCTAATACATTCATCCATGGCCTTATAATTGTCTAGTTTTCCACACAACATTGCTGTTGACAAGAATTCATTTTGCAGTTTAAACAACGGGCCAATATCCACTAGATTCACCTAGAGCCTACATTTCCCAGCCTCCCCTGCAGCTAGCTCTGCTCAGTGGATTTTAAGTGAAATATGCACAACTTTGCAGTAATCTTTTTAAGAGGTTGCTTGGAGTTGCTGCCCCCTTTCCTTCCTTCTGTCAAGGATTGACACAAGTTTGGAAGGTGGCTTCAGAGAATGGCAAAGCTTCCTCACTAGCCTGGGCCTTCCGATGCCTTCACAGAGCAGAGTTATCTGTCTTTCCTGGATGCAAGAGAAAAAATAATTTATATCTTGTTTGAGCCACTATATTTCTGGACACTCTGTTATTAGAACAGCCTGGTTTGTACTTTATGGTAGTGTGGTGCAGTGCTTCAGGATGAAACATGTGCTATGAGCTAGCACTTAATATTTGCTGCTATTTCCCCCATAGCCTGATTGTATGACCCCAAAAAGAGAGGACAATACCTTCTACAAGTCCCCAGTGACCCCCTCACTTTCTGTGACTCTTGTTTCTGCTATATTAGAGTTAGAGTCCCCAAGGGAAGAAAGTTCCCACCAAGAGAAACAATGTTTTCACTGAAATGGGAGCAGAAATTCTTACCTGGTCACTTCTGGTTGCTCCTGTCAATGGATGAGCAAGGTTAAGGGAGACTATGGAATTGGCTAGAGTGACAGCAAGTTCAAGTAGAATTTTTTCCTACACAATGGGGCAAAAGGGAGTATTCATGGAATCACAGGGCTCCCTTGGGGTCCCTTATAGTGCTGTTATGTCCAGGGCTAAAAGTTAATGGAAGACCATGACAGCCCTTTCTAGCCAGGACCATCAAGGGCTCAGATCCCTCAGGAACAAAGGCTTGGCTCTCTCCAGTATAAAGAACCCAAACCAGCCCAGGTGCTGCCTGAAGGCAAAAGAAACAGAATGGAAAAGGGAGGAAGGATGTCATGAATAACAAATATGTAAAAAAAAGACAATGGCTTTTACGTCCTGACCTGTTGTCATATTAGACAGTTTATATTTTAATTTCATACATTTTCTTCCAGTTCTTATTCCCTTGTGATTGTATTATTATTATTATTATTACTTTTTTTTTTTTTTGAGACAGAGTTTCACTCTTGTTGCCCAGGTTGGATTGCAATGGCATGATCTCAGCTCACTGCAAACTCCGCCTCCTCCTGGATTCAAGTGATTCTCCTGCCTCAGCCTTCCGGGTAGCTGGGATTACAGGCGCCTGCCACCACGTTCGGCTAATTTTTTTTTTTTTTTTTTTTTTTTTTTTTTTTTTTTTTTTTTTTTTTGTATTTTTAGTAGAGACAGGGTTTCACCATGTTGGCCAGGCTTGTCTCGAACTCCTATCCTCAAATGATCTGCCTGCCTCGGCCTCCCAAAGTGCTTGGGATTACAAGGGTGAGCCACCATGCCTGGCCACTATTACAGTATTATGTGTGATGATTATTAGCTTTACAATTTAGTCTAATCCACAAGTTGCAGAATATTGAGACCAGATTCCAACAGAACTAGAGAAGGAAGAGAACAAAGGTAGTGAACTTAGAGCTATGAGGCTTTGGATTGTCAGGAAAGTTGAATACATTTTCTGTAATGAGTGACAGTAGCATAACGTTAGGTGGGAGCATTTTGTGGAGGAAAAGGCTGTACATTTGAGAAAAAAGGAATATGTGGATATTGGGCAGTCAAAGTGGTGGGTCCCCTCAGGTGGGTCCCCCCACCCTTTTTTAACCTACCATCTGAACAGTTCCTGATAGGGAGACTGTCCTCAAACAGGGTAAATACTGGTGGAATAGTTTTAGCTTTTAGTATGGAGGTGTAAGGGACTATGCTCTTCCCTCCCATCTCTGACAACCAGTGCCTGGACACATGTCCTACTCTTAGTATCATCAAATGATACTCCATAACTTTTGAATCTTGAGGGAGTGAAGTGAAGATGGAGGAAAGGTTAGGAAATTACTCTCAGTGATGTTCGTGCCAGAGTCTAGCCACTGTGGTGCTAGCAGCAGTGCCCTAACCAAGCGTTCCTGTGCTTCCTGAAACTGATGTTCCTTAATTCCTCAGCCTTCCTGTTGATCCTGTAAACTACTGAATATCCCTGGAATCAGTTCATTTTTCTTCTTGGGTTAGCTGGACTCAGGCTCCACACACTGAGGGGCTGCAGAAAATCAAAGACTCAAGGGAAGAAAGTATTCTCTGCAGTCCAGGGTGGAGAAGCACTCTCTAAACCTTATACAGAGGAGAGGGGCTTCTGTCTCCGTATTGGTTGTAGGGGACACCGTTTCCTACATGCCTATTTTATGGACTCTGATCACCAAGAAGACATGTTTGTCGGGACAACCGGGGTGGTTATTGACTTGCCAGACCTGTCGCCCAGAAATCCAAAGGAATCAGTCCCCTGAACCCCTACCCTGCCTCCAAGGACCATAAAGTCAGAGAAGTAGAGAAGTTTCGGCTCCCTGGGGAGGAGGAGCCAGGGCTGGGTTAGCTCCTCGGCCCGCCCCAACAACTCCTGGAGATTCCAAAGAAGTGCAGAGGGAGTTGCAGGGCCTACTGTGATGAAGCTCACAGCACTGCCACAGGGAATTTCCATGTGACAGGGACCCCAGGGTGCTTTCTCCTCAACGGAAATTAACAGCACCTGAGCTCTCGTGGCCTTGCCCTTGCCCGGATCCTTCAGGGAGGCTGTGGGCTGGGCAAGAGAACTCAAGGAGGATGGCAGGGGGAGTGTGTGTTTCTCCTTCCAGGTTCTCGTCTTCGAAGTCCGCGCTTTGGAACCATGAGCCCCATCCTCTGGTCGCAGGGCAAATCCTGACCCAAAGGACGTAGCCCTTTCACGCTTTCCTAGCGCCTGCCTTCTCCTGCTGGGGGTTCCGGATCCGGGCGCTGCGCGGTGCGGGGTTGGCTCCAGCAGAGCGCCGCTCGCCAGTCTCTGCCGCGCAATCGGCAGGCGCCAATTCACTGCCGCGGCTGGCCCAGGTTGAGCTGGGAAGGGCCTGGTGTCCTATGCGGTGCCCTCGGAGCCCTGGGGCGGCCTCCGCACAGTCACGAGGTCCCGAACCATTTCTAGAAATGAGACTCCGGGAGCCTGTCGGGAAAAGCAAGGGGTGCGAGACCCAGGCGTCCTGGAGGCCCTGGCCCGGGTCTGGGGTCCCAGGAAGGGATGGTCCACAAGCGAACCCAACGGCAGACATCACTGAGGCTCAACCCGCCTGGGACATGTGGCCCTGAAGCGCAGGAATGAAGAGTCAACCCTTCTCTGCCTAGAACGGGGGCGCCACCTCTCAGGCCGCCTCCGCAGTCCAGGAGAGCGCGGCGGGGCCGGTTCCCTGGCAGCACTATGAGTGCAGCTCCACGCGTTCGGGCGCAGCCCTCGCCTCTGGAGAGTCAGGTTTGGCCGAATTCTCCAGCTGCTGTGGCGACCGTGGGGTTAGAGTCGCACCACCCCCCGCGGAGCCCTGGTCTGGAGTCCGAGCTGAGTGGAGGCTGGGGACTGGTCAGAGCCAAGCAGACGGCTACGGCTACGCTACGGGCTGTGTGTTTTTCCCTGCATCCCCGCCGCACTCTTCCACACCCTAGAGGGCCAGATTTGTAGGGCGACGGTGCAAGATGTCCCTTCCCTTCGGAAGAGGTTTATATTCGGCCTCCTGGATGCCGGCCCCAAATGAGAGCGGATTTCTCGTATTTTCACAAATCTGGTGAATGGCATCTTGGCATCTAGCCCGGCCCGGACAAGTCCCTGTGGCGGGGTGTGGGGTGGGGCGCTTCTGGATCATTTACTAACAAGCCCTCCCCCCGCCCCCCACCAGCTTGCTGCAGGGCTCACAGGGCGGCCTGGGCACAGTGAGGCTGGAGGGAAGCGAGTTTTTCTCACTTACGGGCTGTCTCCAGCGCATGGCCTGGCACCTCCGTGCAGGTGTCCCTTGGCAACTCAGGAGCTCAGTGGATCCCTGTGAACGTTTGTGCTTGGCTTCTTCTGGAGGTGACACCCCAGGAAAAGCCAGGACATCAGGCTGCTGTGAGGAGGGGACAGTAGAACCCACCCCAGGGCGGAAGGCTCAGGGATGGCTAGGGGCAACTCCCTGGAACTGGAGGCTCTGCTCATTTAGTGCAACCGAAGACTCCAGGCCTTCCAAAGATCTGCTTCTTCAGCCCATCTCCCACGCAGACACTCCTACCCCCCTGCTCCACCTTATGTCGAGGGAGAGAAGCCAGTCCTGCAGAGCCCAGGCTGAATGGAGTCCCACAGGCACTGGAAACCTTGGGGCTTCTGTGGGGTTAGTAAATCGGTCCCTCCATATTCCTTTGCCCACTCCTCTGCAGAATTCGCCCCAGGGCAATAACCACAATAATCAGACCAGTCCTGCGCTGACCAGGAAGCACCCAATTTCTGGCCTGGGATGGGAAAGGGAGAGAAGTCAAAGTCTGCAGACGTGAAGCCTCTGGTTCCCAAAATGGGTACAAGAATACAACTGTGTGTCTGAGTTTTCGTGGCTGGCTTTGGGAACAGATGTGCCAATGTGCAGGGGCCGCTTTTCTCTGACAGCAAGTGAATGGTGAGGGACCATGAAACCCCTATGCATTTTCCTATGAACCTGTGGGACAGGCCTCCCCAGTCTGTGCAATCAGGTGTGGCCACCTGACAGCAGGGTAATTGCATGTGATCCTGAGATTCCCTAGGCCAAAGGTAAGGGAAAGCTGCCCCTCAACTTCCCTCCAGAAATTGAGGGTCTGGGAATGAGGTGCAGAGGGTAGATGCCCTGAGATTTGTAGGACCCACCCTGAGGGCCCCAGCAAGTCCTGAGGGTGGAAAACCCAGGCCACAACACCTTGGGGTGCTCTGTGCCATTCCTGGAGCATCTGTGAAGAGCCAAGCTCTTTTACCTGAGTTATCTTCTAAATCCCCTTAATCCAGGTTAATTACAGGTTGGCCCTGTAATATGGGCAAGGAAATTGCAAGATCCTAAAACTTAATGAACTTACTCGAGGTTGGACAGCAAAGAAGCCAGGCTTAACACTTAGGCTGATCTTCAAAGACACTTCAACAGCTGCTTGGGACTGAAAGAGGGTTTTTGGAAGAGGGAAGGTGCAGAAGGAGAGGGGAACTGGCATCAGAGGAGCAGTGCCAGGAACAGGGAAAATAGCAGGACATAAAACACTGGGATTGGTGAGTCCTGTGGCATGTGGACAGAGCAGTCTAAAATATCTTATCAATGCTCTGGGAAAAAGAAAAGCCAAAACAGTCTATCAGAAGGGGGTATTACATGTGTCACTGTTTTTCATTTATTTAAACAAAATGGAAAAATGCTCTTAAGAAAATAAAACAAGATTACAAGTCATATTTGGCAGGCAACTTTAAAATCCTAGGATTAGATCTTAGACGTGGGGAAGTAGTTTAAGACCTTGATGCCTGAAGCAGTGTCAACAATACCAAAAGATTATTCTAAATGTGCAGTCTCATAAAGATTCATCTCATCAGGCCCCATCAAGATCTAATGAATGAGAATCCACATTTTAACAGGATCCTTGGGTGATTTTTGCACATACAAAAGTTTAAGACACTGGTAGGGGCTATTTGTATATAAATGAATACACCTTATATAGCATACAACAGAGCCTTCCAGGGATGTTCCCCTACCCCCACCCTGGTAGGGTCTCATCTCCAATTCTCACTAAATACATGACATCCCAGGACTCGGCCATCCCTTTCAAGGACCCTGTCTCTAGAGTTAGACCTCATGGTTGGAATGCTGGCCTCACTGTTTACCAGCCGCGGGCTCTCAGGCAAGCTGCTTAACCTCCGCCTCCCCAGTTCAAGCGATTCTCCTGCCTCAGCCTCTGGAGTACCTGGGATTACAGGCGCCCGCCGCCACGTCCGTCCGGCTAATTTTTGTATTTTTGTAGAAACGGGGTTTCACCATGTTGGCCAGGCTGATCAGGAACTCCTGGCCTCAAGTGATCCACCCGCCTCGGCCTCCCAAACTGCTGAGATTACAGGCCTAAACCACAGCTCCCGGCCCCTGCTTAACCTCTTTAAACTTCAATTTTCCTTATGTATAAAGTAGGGAAAAAAATACCACTACCTCATAAGGTGGTTGCTAGGCATGAAGTAGTACTCTTAAAGCATAGTGCAGTGCCTGGCACACAGCATATGCTCCATAACATTGTTTGCTAGTATGATTACCATTCGTATTTTCCAACCCATTCAGTAACAACCGCCACTGCATTTCCGAGGGTGCCACGGAGAATACAAACTCCCAGAGCCTCGGCTCGAAGCGCCTTGCCACGCGCGGCCCCTAGAGGGCGCCCGGAACTCACTCGTTCTGGGCTTCCGTGACCAAGTCCCAGGTCCGGTTCCCACTTCTGGGTGGCTGCTGAATCGCTGCCGCGGCCTCCAGCTTTTGGGTCTTTTGGCTCCTCCGGCAGCAACCAAAGAAATGTGGGCTGTGGGTTCGTAGGGCAGAAAACAGGAGGGGCAGGAGCAGCTCCCACCCAAGCCTTTCCCCAAGGAGGCACGCAATGGAAGCCCCCCCATTCCCCGCCCCGCACCCCTCACAATCTTCTCACACACAAGGAGGCCAGATTTCCCCAGGCTCTGGGCAGGCAGTGGCGGCCGCTGGACCTTCTGGGCCTTGCTAGGGTCCTCAGCCAGTATCTAGGGTGGCTGCTGCTATCCCCAAGCTCAGCCTCGGGCACATGGGGTTCTGTTACCACCTGAGCTGCAGGGCTGGAACCTGAAGCCAGCTCCCAAGACAACCCCCACCCCCAGGCCAGCTGAGAATGGAGTTAGATTCCCCTCTGTTAGGGGGTGGGGGAAGAGGGAAGGAGAGGAGGGGTGTCCAGGGGTAACCACCTACAGGAGCAGGCCTGGTCAGGTGTGAGCTTGAGCCAGAAGTGAAGGCTGTGTGTGTGCCTGGCACTGCACACTTGTAGCTCCCCTCGTGTAACATTGCACACCCTGATTGTTGCATAGTTGAAGGAGGTATGTGAGGTTGTACCCAGCAATGCAGGCTGTGAGCGGGGGCATGTGAATTGTACCCACCCCTGGACACAATGTAGGTAACCCGCCACTCCCTGGAACTCACCCAGCCCTCCCTCACACCCCAACCTGCCACCCCTCACCCTCATCATGCACAACCAGTCTTTGGAGTCTGCTCTGAGGTCCTTGGAAAACCTGACCTGACTCCAGCCTCTGCTCAGCCTGTTCCTATCAGATTCTCCAGGATAAGAAATCCAGGTGAAGGTTCCTGGGTGGGAGGGGCTTCCCTGGGCCAACCAGGCCAGGGCTGAATGCGGGCAGAAGACATTGGATGGGCCCTTTCGAGCCACGCAGGGAACGTGGTGGCAGCTCCTGCCAATTGCTTGACAACAGCCTGGCTGTGGGACTTCAAACTCTGAGCTGATCTGGAGGGTCTGGGGGCCCTGGGAGGGAGCAGGACTTGGGGGCTGTGTGGGAGTGACATAGATGTGAAAGTGGGCATGAGGGCAGTAGAAGGAGTAAAGCATGAGAGAGGAGGTCTTTTCTGGCACCTGAGCTGAAGGGCCCTCAGGGCAGCCCCAGGGCCACAGCCTCCCTGCTGCCCTGAAGCCTGGCAGCTGAGTCCCAGCTGCTTTAGCTGGCTGGAGGTCCTTGCTTAGTTGTCTCAAGCACCTGAAACCTACCTTGCCCCCCTTCGAGTCAGTCGTCCCACAGTTAGGGCACCCATCTGAGTCCTGTGCCCAGGGCAAACCCCACAACTGCCTGGTAGTGGGGCCACCACAGGGTAGTCAGTGCTCAGGAGGTGCCACACAGCCCCCAAGCACAGATGCAGCCACACAAAGCCGCTATTATAGTTAACAGGTTGAGCCAGATTCTCTGTGTGCCTCCCACCGCACTGCACAGGGCCTCTAGGACCCCAGCCCTGGGGCCGCCACCCACTCAGCCACAGGGCCAGATCTGAGCGGCAGGGCTCGCTGGCCACAGGAATTTGGTGATTGCCGTCGGGTCTCAAGCCAAGGAAGGAAGCTGGCCTTTCTGCGCAGACAGGTTTGTTAATTCCCCTTCTCTCCCGGCACCTCTACACACAATTATTCCGATAGTTCTTTTTCTATTTCTGAACAGAGACCGGTCATTTCTGGCAGGGGAGGAAGAGTTTCGAGCTTTCTGTTGTGAGTAGTTGGCCTTGACTGTGACTCTCGCAGGCCCCCTCCCCTCCAGCCTCCGCCCCACGTGGGACGGAGTTTGCGGGTCCAGCCGCCACCCAGGCCTTTCTCCCTGGCCGCGGCGCTCGGCGGACCCGGGATCCACTGACATTCGGTCTCAACGAATTTCGGGCGGAGAGACGGGAGTCCTGCGTGTCCCGCCGCGCCACAGGTCCCAGCGTCCCCGGGAGTCTGGCACCCCCGGGAGGCCTAGCCCAAGGGCGGGAGCGTCAGCGGGGCCCCGCTGAAAGTGCACGACCCGGGCCGCAGGCGGCCGAGCAGCGCTGGGAGCAGGCGAGCGGCATCTGGGAAGCTCAAAGGCCGCCCGCCCTGGGCGCCCCAGGCCCCTGCGCTGGGATTGTCCCAACTTTAGGAATGTCCGCTTCTGCGCGAGTCCGGGTGGAGCTGGACAGGGTCCGAGAGCTGCGGGCTGAGGGCTCTGGCCTGCATGTGCTCTCCGCGGTTTGTGAGTGTGAGCCCTATGACGTTCCTGAAGATGGGGGGTGAGTGGGAGGGAGGGTAGGAGGCGTTTTGGGGGACAGTGGTGTTGGGCCTAACTTTGCTCAAGAGGGGATGGGAGAAGGGTTGGAGAGCCCAGGTTTGGGAGCCAGCTTGGGGCTGCTGTGTTTGGGCCGGCCAGCCTCTCCCCACCCAACCTCCGTTCTTCTGTTAGGCTGTGTTCAGAAAGTGCTCGGGGTTCTCCGGACACAGCAGCCTCTAGAGGCGGTCTTGGGAAACTGGGAGGCGGGAAGAAGGCGGCAGTCTCCCCTGGGGTCCTGCTGTGGGATCGCGCAGCCGGGAAGCATCGATCTTGAGTCCAAAAGAGGAGAGAAACCGCACCCCGCGAAGAAGGCGCGGGCTCGGTGGTTCCAGTTCTGCGAGAGCAGAGGGGAGAGCAGACCTGCCCAGATAGAGGGAGACGACTTCTGAGGTTCTGGAGGCTATTTCTGGATTTTGCCCGGCCTGGCGCTGGAGGCTATTTCTGGATTTTGCCACGGCCGGTGAATGCGGGAGACCTGCCGCAGACCCGGCGCTGCCACCAGAACCTTCTCACTACGCCCCACACAGCTCGTCAGGGCCCAACCTGGGCACTCCGCGGGTCTGTGGGGATGGCGCGGAATGGCTGGCCGCTGTCTTCGGACCCTGAAGCCTCCCTTTTTTCTCTTTTCTTCATGTCTACACAAAATGAGTGACAGAAGCCCCCTCTCATGCGGATATCCCAGGGGACCCCAGGTGATGGGGTGGATGACCAAGCCCATCCTCCACTCAGCCGAACTTCCCCATGGGCTTGCTGGGATGGGAAGTTGCTGTGCTCACGACCTGTGTCACAGCCCCCATGGCAGGGGCAGGTATGGGGGACAGTGGCTCTGACGGTTAGGGTGGCTCCCCACCCTCAGTGTCCCGCAAACACTTCTGCAGAGCTTCCAGGGGCCCCCACACCACGAACTTCTACTTTCCAGTTGAAAAGTTCTCTCACTGTCCCATGCCAGAGAAAAAGCCTCTTATCCCTCCATTTCAACTCACCCCTAGGGCGATGAGTTCTCTAGACCCTCCACCACCCAGCTTCTTCCAGAAAAGCAGACCCAAGTCAGTCTTGTCTAGGATAGTTCGAAGAGGCTGGGGGCTGGCTGTTATTATGCCTGTGTGCATGTGTACTGTGGCTGAAGGTCTGGCAACGGTGATCTGGGGGCTCCCTGAAGGTCCCCAGAAAGTCAGTTCTTTAGATCCCTCCTAGGCCACGCTAGTGCTGGGAACTGGTAGGTCCCACTTAGAGCACCAGAGAGGATCCTGGCCCTAATTCCTGATTCAATGTGCTCTAGTCTCTGCAGCTTGCTGGGTAAGCGTCTAGAGCCCCAGATCTTCAGCAGATGGTGGTCCCACCACAATGTATCTGGGTATCGCACATCAGACTCCCACCAACACATACACCATCAGCGCACAATTACACACACTCATACAGAACCACACCCACCTACCTGCAGTGATGGTCTCCCACAATGATCCACACTCCCCACTGCATTGACTCCCCCAATTACATTCTGTCACACACAAGTAAATACAGGGAAAATGCACAACTCACACATGATTACATCTTACACACAATTACACCCGTAAAATCCAAGATGATCCACTTCAGAAGCAGTCACATATTTCACAGAAAAATAGATTTACAAAGAGAAACATATTCTCTCAAATATTAACATGATTCATACATAATCACAAACAATGGTTGATTACACAATTACCCAAAAAGAAACAGTCTCATTCGCATAGGGTTACACACACACACCACTACAAGCCCATGCATTCAATGATAGTTTCGATTTGCAACTTAAGCAGAAACAAGCATTTACATGCAAGAATTGCAAACATAATTATACACTTAAACACCATTACAAATATTCACTATTTGTTCACATTGCTGATTGCTCACATTATCACAAACACCACACACACACACACACACACACACACACACGACTCTCACATCCAAAGAAATCCATATCCTCTCAGGCACTGGCAATCCCAGGAGAGCCTGACTCTCCCTGCTCTCCTCAACTCTGCCTTCTCTCCATCTGTCCTCCTCCTTTCCTCTCTCCAGAGCCTTAGGGTCCTGCCCCTCAACATGTCTCTCAAGTTCAGATACCAAGGGCTGCCCCTGAAGCATCAGCTCACACCAAACCCAAGTAGCTGAAGGACGCTAGGGTCCGCAAGGAGCAGGCAGCCCTGACTCCGGATCCGGAGGCTTTTATTTATTTTTTCCACATAAATTACACAAGCACTTTATAAAATGGTTACACAGAAAACACCTTATAAGTGCATAACTTAACACCCTCCCCCAAATGGGTTCTGGAGAAATGGGCTGCATTTATGTGAAAATCTGTCTGTGCATACCTGGGTTGGGCTGGGATGTGTGGTAGGGGCCTGGCAGACCAAATGAGGCTGTTGTGGCTGTTGTGTATGGTGTAGTGTGCCACAGTGTGGCCTTGACCTTGTGTTTGTGCTGGAGGGAGTGCCATGCCGTTCAGGATGAGTGTGTGTCACCCGTGACCTGTGTCTGATCGTGAGGTCCAATATGTAAACACTGTGACCCTGTGTCTGGATGACACTCTGCCATAGATGCCCATGTATGACTCTGGGGTGACACCAGGAGGGACAGTGACACCACCTCTGTGTGGGCCTATGGGTTTCCATGTGTGTGATGAGAAGTGGGTCACAGAGAAGGGGTTTCCCAGGGCAAATTCAGATGATAGCCCTGGGGACCTAAGAAGCTCCTCCTCCCCTACCTCCCTTGCCTCTCTCTGAATCCCACGTTAAAAATTAAAATAAAGTGAAATAAACAAAAACAGAGATTTCTTAACAGTTCAGATGGGTGCGGGACGCGTCTGGGAGGGGGTGCGTGTCCTTATCCCTTGAGCTCTTCTTCCACCGAAGAGAGAACAGTGTCGGCACAAATATGGGGGCCCTTCAGTGCCGTGGGAGGGCAGTGTTCCCCTCCTGGGTGCAGTCTGAGGCCAGGAAAGGTGGGGAGGAGTCCTGGGTCTCAGGCCTCAGTGACCCCTGAGTGGGCCTGGGGTCCCACAGGGCAGAATGGGCAGGCTCACTCGCAGGCCGACGCCACCGACGTGACGCTAGTGATTTTGCTCGAGTCGTCAGACCACGGCTGCAGATTCTGCAGGGCGAAGAGCGATGAGTTGTGCACACACAGAGGGTCGGCGGGCAGCGGCTGTGCCAGGCTCTTCTGGAAGGCCTCCTGCTGCAACTGCAGGAGGATGCGATTCGCTTGCTGCCTCTCGGCCTCCCGTTCCTCCGCAGTCTGCCGTCTGCACCGGGAACAAGCCGTTACCTGCCAGGAGCACCGACCCGGCTCCCGCGTGCGCCCAGCTCCGGGTGAGTTCCCAGGAGATAAACTGAACGAGCGCTGCTCGCCTTTGCAGTCCCCAAATCCAGTTTGGGCCCCTATAATGCGTTCCCTTCTTTTGAGAGTCCTGACTCCAACAAAGACTAGAAACCCCAAAGCGGATGGTGCCAAGGTATCGAGAGAAGGAGGGGTGGGAAAGTCTGCGAGGCCCAAACAGCTGGGATTCCGCATCCACGAGCAGCGCCCACACCCCGCAGGCCTCACAAGGGGCAGCCAGGGGTAGGATGGCATCTCGCCTCCCCCCCCCCCGCCCTGAGGGAGACCAGGTGCCATTCCAAGCCGGAGGGCCCTCACCCTACCCATAAGTCCAGGGTAGAGAGGCAAGGACCAGCGGCTACGATCTGCTCTGCGGGACGTCTCTTGCCTCCCTCTCTCTGCGAATGTCTTCTAGGCCTTTGGCCTTCTGTGTGGAGCCCTGTGCCCTGCAGGGGCTCCTGCTGGACCCACTGGCTTCCTCTGAGGCAGTTCAGGGAGGCAATGACTCACTTATTCCATTTAATGCCTCCCCTCCACCCTGTCAACTGAGATCAAACGTCTGTCTCTAAGGTGGACAGACCTAATGGGAGTCCCCGGGGCCTTCAGAAGCAATTTGTAGGCGATCGATGAAGCCATGCGAAGCCTGCAAGGGCCTCTTTCAGCAGCGGCTGCTGACCTGCTCTGGGCCGCCTTTTCTTGACTGTGTATCTTTCTGTCTTTCGTCTTTCCCTTTTCCCCTGCATTTCAAACGGCCTGAATATTTCTCTTTTATGCTTTGTGTCTTCTCTCTCATTTTCTCTCCTCCCCACCCACTTGGTTCTCTCTGAATTAAAGGAATTTGTTTGAAAAGAATATGTTGATTTCAGTCATCCATTGCTTTTCTTTATTATACATAAATAAGACTTCTGTAGGCTGCCTGTTTTCCTCCTTTTTTTCCTTCAGCGGGCTCCCTATCCCTTCCCACCCCTGAAACTGATTGTGTTTCAGTTTCTCTCTTTGCCTGCCTCTTTCTTTCTCTGTGCCCCTCTCTCTGGGAGGCCTGCCAGGCTGCCTCTCCTCCCCTAGGCCCGCAGCCCTCAGTAGGCCTTGGAAACCGGAGTCACCCCCAACTCCTGAGCTAGCCCTGGCTCCCTCTTTACCGTTCCAAGGTCTGAGGCCGCATCCCCCACTCCTTCCCCAGCGGCAGGAATGCTGTGGGGTGCGGTAGAATCGCGGGACCATGGCTTCCTTTGTGGCCCCGTAGGCGGAATCCCAGGCAGATTCCTCGCCTTCGTTCAGAAAAAGAGGAAACTCCAATTCCTTCCTCCTGCCCCAAGGCCCGCCCGTCTCGGCGCCGCCGACTTCGCCCAGACTTTCCCGCGCTGCCGCACTGGGCCTGAGCTAGGGCAGAAACTCCGGCGGGCAAGGGCCAGATGTGCGGGAGGGTGCAGCGTGCCAGAGGGAGCAGCCCGAGAAAGCGTCAGTGCGCGCGGAGAGGGAGGCTGCTTGGGAGTGTTGGGGACGCTTCATGTCCTTGAGCGTAAATGTGAAAAAACAAAACAAAAAAACCCAGTGCGTAGTAACTGGAGTTGCGGCTATGGGAGAAGGGAAAATTCTCTTTCTCACACACACCCATCTGCTCCTAATTGATTCCCCTTTCAGTGGGACCCGCCAAACCCCGCCGCAGCCGGCGCGGATTGATTTTCTCCTTCCAGGGTAGGGACCGGCTGCGCAAAAGCCTGGCGTCTGGGGAGGAGACGGTCAACACGGCCGCGGTCTGGGGCCCCCAGACCCTCTGCCGAGAGCCCGGTTGGAGCGCTGCAACAAGGTGCGGGCCGATCTGCATGCAGTCTCCGGGACAGAGCAGGATTCCATAAGCAAGAGTTTGCGCAAACAAAAAACTCCCCAGGACACACAGATCCCTGGAGCCTGGAC